CTCGGAGATTTAAAGGATCCTCAGCCGGGCTGTGGGCAGTGTGAGCTGCCTGGTGTTCTCCCCAGGGCTTAGCATAGCTCCCGCACGTTGGCCAGGCTTCCGTCCAGGGTGACCGGTGAACGAATGAGCGAGTGAACAAAGGGACACCAGCCTGTGCCGGGGGCATGGGCAGAGGCCCCCGGCTGAGAGATCGCATCTGCCCTCCAGGCACATCCCCCCCCCCCGCCCCCCTGCCCCCCGCACCGCACCGTGTAAGTGCAGAACATGGAAGCAGCTGCAAGGCGCAGGGCCTCCATCCCTCTCCTGCTGCTGCCAGTGCTCAGACTTCCCCAGGGCCCTGGGACTGGAGTCGCATCCGCTTCCTGCCGTGTGACCCAGGCAAGTCACTGAAGCTCTCTGTGCCTCAGCTGCCGCATCCCTAAAATGGGAATTACAACCGAACATGCCTCAAAGGTTGACACGGGGTTCAAGGAGGCCACCATGAGAAGCATCCGGCCCAGGGTGTGGTGCAGAGCAAGAGCTCTGAAGAGCCAGCGGCCCTCAGTCTTTCTCACTGCACTGAAGGCCCTTGGAGCCAGGCGCCATGATGTCTTCCTTGGCACTGAGCCTGATGTGCAGAGCCATGCTGGGCTAGCGGAGACGTCGGTGGGTCATGAGCCTCCACCTGGGACGGTGACAGGGTACAGGTTCCGCGGGGCAGGAGGAGGGGGCTGCCAGGGCTCCAGCGCCCCCGCTGAGCTGCCCAGCGCCCACCAGCCGCAGAAGAGTGTTGCAGGGACGCAGTGCGGCTCTGCAGAGCGTCCCAGCGCCACCAGCCCTGGGGCCTCAGAGAGGACTCGACAGCCACGCCCCACCGCGTCCTTTTGTACCCCATCCCCTTCTCTGCCACCCCACCCACCGTCCCAGGTCTCCACAGAGCAACCCCAACTCCAAACCACAGTGAGCCGGGGCAGCCAGAGGCTGAGCCGGGAGGTTCATCTGGGTTCCAGCCCCAGCTCCAGGCCAGCACCCTGGGTGCATCCCTCCCTTTCTCTGGACCTCGGTTTACCCATCTGGAAACAAGGGATGGGGGCAGCCTGATCACTAGGGCCCTTCCCATCCTAGCAGTGGCTTCTGCGTACCTACACACCATTGACTGATTTATTCAACAAGTACTGAGTGCCTACAGTGTACCAGGCCCTGCACTGGGCACCTCCCTGTTCTTTCTGCTGGAAGGCCGCTCCTCCTCCGTGGTCTCCAAGCGGCAGCTTCCCAAGGAAGGGTTCCCAGGCCAGCTCTGGGCCCCTCCCTGGCCCTCCCCCAGCCCCCTGCTCTGTTTCCCCGCTGGGTCATCCGGCTGTTTATCTGCCTGCTTCCCTCTGAATGGGGCCTCCTGAGGGCAGGGTCACGTCTCGTTCCTTCTCCCACTTGCAGGGATTCCAGAGGAAGGTTCTGGAAATATCTCTTGGGCAAATGGCCAAATAAATGAATACATGAATTCCCAACCTCTCCTCCATCCTTCTCCCCCCAACACAACACCCTAATTAAGCTTTTTGCCTCTGTATTCGCTTCCCCAAGCCAATCCCTGGGAGCCCACGGGGGCCAAATCCCACTGCACACCAGCAACCTTCCCAGCCATGCCTCCCTCCCCCAAGAGAGGTGACCAAAAGGTGCCCACAAGGCATATATGGCATTTTTGAGGTGTTAATGGCTCTACTGACACTACCTGGGGTTTCTCCTAGCAGACACTCGTCAATATTTAGGCATCAATTAACGTCCCAGGGGAAGCACTGACTCACTCAGATGTGATCTCACCGCTCCAGGAGAAAGGTGAGCGCCCCAGGCTCTCCCAGGCACCCAGACAAGCAAGGCCAGCCCTTCAGGCCTGGAAACCAAGTCTCACTCAGACGCGCCCCCGGTGCAGGTCTGAAGACGCAGAGCGGGTGCGAAGGCCCCTCTTCCCCACACGTGCGCGCAAGGATCTCATCCACACGTGCGCACTCGCTGCCCCGCGCAGTCCACGGCGCCCTGCTCCGAGTCGCTGTGCATCCAATCAGAGGCTTGTGTGCGACCCGCCCATTCTGTAAATGCTTGTGCATTCCTACTGTGTGTCCCCCAAGCTCCACTGTTCCCGGGGGCACCAAAGAGCTCAGCTGTTCCACTGCCTCCTTCAGCAAGTGCTCCCTACAACAGCTGCGGCAACTCCCCCTCCCAGGCCACCCCCAAAAGAGATCAAGGGGTTTTTATTAAGCTAGACAACTGCTTAGCCCTCCCCACTAGCCCACCTCTTGATTCTTGAGAAGGAGGGGAGATCAACTAAGCCTGGGCCCCAGAAAGACTGGGGCCCCTCACAACGGGCTGACCTCTTGTCAGCTGGCCCCAGGGAGGGAAGGCGCCTTAGCGGAGCTCAAACCCACCTTGGGGCAGAAGTGAAGCTGGTGGCCTGGGAAGTGCCAAGAGGAACCACGCAGGGAGCCAGGGCCTGGCACCCCTGACCCCACCCGTGGCTAGAGAATCCACTTCCATGCCTAGCCCGACTCCCCACCTGGCCCCCAGAGGTGCGGCTGCAGCCCTGAGAATGGCTGGGAATGATGAGCTGAGGCTAGGACAGATGTCGGCTTCTTCCTGGACTCTGGCAGGCCCTGGTCGCAGAGCAGTTGGCGGGCAAGTGGCGAGGTATCAACCAAATCGAGGTTGCATTCACCATGGGCTGAGCCCTGAGAACTGAACTCAAGAATCACCGATGGCAGAAGCAAGTGGCTGATTTTTGAAGAACCTAGAGGGAGTTCCAGTCAGAAGCAGATCTGGGTTCAAATCCTATCTCCACCCTTCCTTGGATGTGTAACCTTGATTGAACAAGACACACAAACTCTAAGTCTGCGTTTCCCCCAACAAGTTCTGGGCAAGAACAGAGTGAAGGCCAAAGTCAGCGTCACTAATACATTCTTGGATTCTTGCAATGAGCCAGACACTGTGGATCCCAGACCAGACTGTCATATGCAGTCCTCACGACTGTAAAGCCAGGTAGGATCTCCTGCTTCCCTCCATCCATGTGCCAACAATGTCTCCAAAGTGAGCCTCAAAAATAAATGACGCCATTGTGTGTTTTTAAGATGGGCTCTAGGGAAGTAAAGGGCCGTCTGTTTTTGTTCCTTCAGGTATGATCACGTGGACACATTCCACGCCTGGGCGTCCCTATCACCAGATCACCCATAGTATGGAATCAAGATGCCCTTCTCCTGCGGTCCCCTTAGTGTCGATCCTGGCTTCCCTGGGTCGGGGTGGGAAGAGGTGCTGCTGGTCAGAAGGGCTCGGACCAGCTTGAGGTTGTCCCCAGACAGTGTGAGCAGAGCGGCCCACGGGACCTGGAGCTGCGAGGCCTTGAGCGAGTCCCGTCCGCTCTCAGGGCCTGTTTCCTCATCTGAAAAATGGAGTGCGTGCTCTGTAACTTTGTGCGAACCCTGATGCCTGGCACTGAGCAGATGCTGCAGAATTGTTAGAGGAATTAAATCTGGAGAATTCTAAAGACTGAAGGAAGACCCAAGAACTGCAGGACGGGCTGGCTGGGACTCTTCACTCCCGCCAACGGACGAAGCTGGTACAGGGGCCATCGGGCCCAAGGAAACAGGAGGCTCCAAAGGAACCCGGAGGAGAGGGCGGACCAACAGGAAGTTTGCTCCTGGACCTCCCCCACCTGACCGCCCCAGGGCCCCCTGACCACTCAGTCCCCGTGAAGCCCCTTCCTCCTTCAAGGGCCAACTCAAGGACCCCTCCTGAAGCCAACCCTTCTGAAGCAAACATCAAGAGACCCCACCCCACGCACCTCTCAGAGCAGCAGCTGCTCCCCTTCCAGCCGCCGCCCCCAATCGAGAGAGCCCCAGAGATCACAACCCTGTCTCTCTGTTCTCCGATCGTCTCAGTCCCACACTGAGAGGAGGTGGCCCATGAATGGTTCAGGACAAGAAGGAAGACTATCCACAGAAGTTAAATCGGCAACGTTCCGTAGCCCTCGGTATTGGCCTCCGGGTCTGGGGTTCACAGTCCCGGCACAAATCCTGCTCTGCCCCCCAGGAGCTGTGGCATTCCCAAGTCGCCCGACTCCCCGGAGACGCTGGTCCGGCTCTGCAAGCAGGCGCAGTGAGGGATTTAGGGCGTTACTGGCAAGGGGCCTGTCCCCTAGGAGAAACAGAATAATGGTCTCTATTGTCATTATTAGTAGTTAGGAAGGAAAGGTTACAGAGCCAGTGATTAGGACCCTCAGCAACTTTGGACCTCAGCGTGCACGCAAGCACTCGTTGGGGCATGCCTCAGAGCCTCCTCCATCAGAGGAGACCAGACTCACGAGGTTTTGTTTTTCCCGTCAGACAAATGGGTAGGATGGCCCTTTCCCGAGTATTCCCTGCGGCACTAGGGCCAAAAGTCAAGGAATCGGGGCCAACATTGCGGTTGAGGGTACGTCCAAACCTTTCTCCTGTGAGGGTCCCTCAGGGTCAAGCCGGCTGCTCCCCCTAGTCTCCTGCAGAGGCCTTGGGTCCCGCGGGTTACCCGGGAGCGACAGAGTGAGAAAGAAACTGTCGTTTGGCCCGGAGCGGGGAGCCATGCGCACCTGCCGCAGGTGGGCCCAGGCTTGCGGAAGGGGGAGGAGCCATTACCGCCGTACGCAGGTGAGCTGACCCCCGGCTCCCGAGGAGCTAGGCCAAAGGCGGCCGTGGGCTCCAACGTGGCTGCTGAGAAGCAACCCACTTTGCAGACAGTGGCCTCAGCGCCTCCGAGTCCCAAGCTACGCGGCGGCCCCAGGAGAACATTCGAGGCAGCAGCGGCGTTAGAAGCCCCGGGTCCGTTCGGTATTTGAATAGCACAAAGGAACCGCCTTGGTCTGATTGGCCAACCGAGTAACCCCGGGGCGGGCAGCGCCTGTCACTCGGGAGCCTCTCGGCACTTTTATTGGCTTATCGGGTGTGGGGCGGAGCCCGAACGCCCAGCTAAATAGCTGGGGCCGGGGCCGGCCGAAGCTCATTGCTTTGGCGCCGTCTGGGGAGCACGGTACTGCGGGTGGCGCGCAGCGCATGGTGGCGGCTCCTCTCGGAGCGCAGCCGACCCGCTGATCCGGGCTCCGTTTCCCCTGCCCAGCGCGCCCCGGCGGCCGGCTGGTGGCCGAAACAGCAGCAGCATTAACAGCAGCAGCGGCCGCGGCTGCTCCGCCGCCGCCGTCTCCGCGGGAGCATGGAGTGCGCCCTGGACGCCCAGAGCCTGATCAGCATCTCCCTGCGCAAGATCCACAGCTCCCGGACCCAGCGCGGCGGCATCAAGCTGCACAAGAACCTCCTGGTATCCTACGTGCTCCGCAACGCACGCCAGCTCTACCTGAGCGAGCGCTACGCTGAGCTCTACAGGCGCCAGCAGCAGCAACAGCAGCAGCCGCCCCACCAACAGCACCAACACCAGCACCTCGCGTACGCGGCGCCGGGCATGCCGGCCAGCGCGGCCGACTTCGGCCCGCTCCAACTTGGTGGCTGCGGAGAAGCGGAGGCGCGCGAGCCGGCCGCGCGGCACCAGCTGCACCAGCTTCACCAGCTCCACCAGCTGCACCTCCAGCAGCAGCTGCACCAGCACCAGCACCCGGCGCCCAGGAGCTGCGCGGCGGCGACGGCCGGGGCGCCAGCGGGCGGCACGGGGGCGCTCTCGGAGCTGCCCGGGTGCGCCGCGCTCCAGCCGCCGCACGGCGCGCCCCACCGCGGGCAGCCCTTGGAGCCGCTGCAGCCTGGTCCTGCGCCGCTGCCGCCGCCCGCGCCAGCCGCGCTCTGCCCGCGGGACCCTCGCGCCTCGGCTGCCTGCTCCGCGCCCTCCGTGCCCCCAGGGGCCGCCCCTCAGGCCGCTGCCGCCGCCTCACCTCCCGCCTCCCCGGCCCCCGCCTCCTCCCCCGGCTTCTACCGGGGCGCGTACCCGGCCCCCTCGGACTTCGGCGTGCACTGCAGCAGCCAGACCACCGTGCTGGATCTGGACACTCACGTGGTGACCACGGTGGAGAACGGCTACTTGCATCAGGACTGCTGCGCCTCCGCCCACTGCCCCTGCTGTGGCCAGGGCGCCCCGGGACCGGGCCTGGCGTCCGCCGCCGGCTGCAAGCGCAAGTATTACCCTGGCCAAGAGGAGGAGGACGACGACGAAGAGGACGCGGGCGACCTGGGAGCCGAGCCCCCCGGGGGTGCCCCGTTCGCTCCCTGCAAGCGCGCCCGCTTCGAGGACTTCTGCCCGGACTCGTCCCCAGACGCGTCCAACATCTCAAACTTGATCTCCATCTTTGGCTCAGGCTTCTCGGGGCTGGTGAGCCGACAGCCGGACTCCTCGGAGCAGCCGCCGCCGCTCAACGGGCAGCTGTGCGCCAAGCAGGCGCTCGCCAGCCTCGGCGCCTGGACTCGAGCCATTGTCGCCTTCTAGGGACCCCCGAGGGCACGGGGACCCGCGGGGCTGGGGCCAGACAAAGACTCGGCCAAGGGGCAAGAGGAGGGAAGGAACGGACGCCCGGCCACTCGGGGCTGAGCTGGGGGCGAGCAGGGGAAGGCGGCTAATGTTTTATAAATTGTAAAATAAAAAAGAGAAATCTAAGATCTTGGACTTTATTTTTACAGAGAGAAAAAGCGCCTATTTAAGTATGCTTTGTGTTTCTCCTACTCTTTTTTTTTTTTCCCCCTCTTTTTATTGTAGTGATTGCAGTGGTGTTTAGCGAGGAGCCAGCCACGTGAGGGAGGGCTGTTGCCCGGAGGAGGTGCGGGGCAGCCGGGGGCGAGACAGGGCGCCGGGGCGCGCCGGGGGCGCAGCGCAGGAGGGCGCGGGGCCGGGGACGCCGATCCCAATCAGTTGTCAGACCCAGGAAGCTCGGCGCTTGGTTCTCCCGAGTCCCTCCATGGGGTGAGGAATGGGTCTTGTGAAATCCTGAGCAAAAACAAAGGCAAACTCTATCTCCGAAAGGGACGTTTGGGTCACATTTCCTCTCTGGGGGCGGCCTCCAAAGTTCGCAAAATGAGAAGGCAGAAATGAAAACACTTCAACTTTTTTTTTTTTTCTTCCCGGGCGGGTGTCTTGAACCCCTCCTCTCCCCGCCCCTCTGGCTCCGCTCTCTTCCCCTCCTCCACCCGTCTCCCGGACTCAGGGGTGGCGCCGGACACCCCGACACTCTCGGACACTGTTTGGGGAAGGGGTGGGGGGCGGGCACCAAGGACTACATTTCCCATCATGCCCAGCACTGCGGTCCTCACTAAACAAAAAAGGAAGTCGATTCCTTCACCTGGATCCCCCGCGGCCCGGAGGGAGGGAGGGGCTGGGACCGCCGACTGCGTCGGAGACTTTTTCACTAAGTTCCTGGTCAGATGTGGTGTTTGTGTGTGTGCTTCTAAGTTGCACTGTCCTGCTTCAGCCTTCGGTTGCATTTCATGAAACCAGCATTGTTCGAGCCTGTGAGAACCCCGTCCTGTGTCCTCAGCCCAATAGATCTTGTTTAATTTAAAGCCTTTTGTTGTAAAAAGGTGGGGTTCTGCAGCCCCTCTGGTTCTCTGCCATCAGCACCATGTGGACTCCAAAACAAGTTGCCAACCCTTCCCTTCCTGGCCCCTCTCCCTCATTCCCCTGTATTTTTGTGCGTACCGAATTGTATGTACATCACCGGGTAAAACTGTTCAGATTATTTGTTTAAATTTATAATCTTAATAAAAAGTCAATTACAGAGGATAGTGGTGCCTTGTTTTCAGCTCGGCCTGGAGGTGGCGGGGAGGATAGAGGGGGGTTGGGGAGAGACCCCTACCTCCGTGCAAATCCCAGTTCTCCTGGGCCCGGACCGACGGGGATCTGCCCACATCTGCAGGGCCGGGAGTGGGAGCGGGATTGGGTGGGGGCTGCTTGTTGCTGGGGTAGAAGCCCGTGCTGCGCCCCTCGAGGGGGGCCCTCCTTCCCAAAAGAGGCTGCCCCCCACGGGCACCGTCCGCTCCAGGGGTCTCCTGCAGAAAGCCCAGCCAGCCTCCAGCACGTTTCCTGCCCAGCCAGGAACGCAGGGCCTGGCTGGCCCCAAGTCTGAGCTCTCTGCGACAGGGACGAGCAGCCGCGGGACGCCGGGGGCTTCTGGGCCACCCACCCTCCCCGCCCCGCGCCTCCGCTCGCACGTCTCGGTCTGCAACTTGGGGAAGTTTTTTCGTTTTCCTTTTTTTTAAGTTGAGTTTGTTATCACTGCTCGGTGCCACTTGGTGGTGTGCTGGCGGCGTCTCCCTCCCTCCTCGCGCCCCTCCCCTCTCCCTCTCCCCTCCCTCCCGCCCGCCTCTCTTCCCTCCCCAGTGGATGGAGGCAGGAAGGCTCCAGGCGCGCTCTCCCCTCTGACCACCTACGGAATGACCTCAGAGTGGGAGAATGTGCCAAGGCCCCGAGGAAGCTCGCGTTCTCCCCACTGGAACCAAATTCACATCTGGAGCCGCTGCTCGGGCCCGGGGGCGCGCGGGGTGGTTTCAGCTTTGCAAACAGGGGATAGAAAAGAAAGAATGAAAAAAAAAAAAAAAAAACCGAGCAAGAAGGAAAAAAGCAAAGTGGCCCTGTTTGATAGTCTCTCTGTCTGCCCAATGCTCTCGCGCTCGCTTTCTCGCCCCTGAGCTCCCCTTTCCTGCCCGCGCCACCCTGCAAGACGATTCACACCCCCCGCCCCTGCCTTCACGCCTCCCGCAGCGAGAGGCGAGTCTGCTGCCGAGAGACCCCTCAACCCCAGACACTGAGAGGCAGACGCGATCCAGTCCCAGGGGCCTGCTCAGCTCTGGGCCCCAGTGCCGCACGAGGCGAAGTTCTTGGGGCACTCCAGAATGCGGGGGGCAGTGAAGATCTGCGATTGGGGGTAGGGGAAGAGTGAGGCTAAGCAGGCGTGAGTTACAGGAAGGAAAGGCACCTTCACCCACCTAACCCCCGGGGGCTGCTTTCTCGGCCTCCCATGGGAAGAGTCGGGAGCTGCCGAGGAGGGGAACGGTGTATCTCCCCCCTCCCCATTTTTTCCCTTCTAGTCCAGAGAATCGCAGTTGGATGGAAGGTTTTGATTCAACCCACCAAGCCAGTTGCCAGAGCTCCCCCTAGTGCCGCTTCGAGGGAGCTGCAGCTACTGAGGCCGGGAGTGGGCGAGGCAAAGCCGGGGGCGGTGGGACTGAGGGGGTGCTGCTTGGCGCCCACTTGGGGCGCAACGCAGAGTCTGGATCCTGCCCCGACTGGCCGCAAGCCTGGGGCCGCGTGCGTTCCCACTCTAGGACCGCGTCGAGGAAGGGCACGTGGTCGGCCGCCTTTGTTGGGAGCGCGGACCTGGGCACGGAAGGGACCAGTGTAGGGGCTTGGGAACTCCACACCCTCTCCGGATCCCAAGGGCAAAGGACTGTGGGTGCGAAATAAGAGCTCTGACCTCGACAGGACCCCGGGCCTGGGTACTCCTCCTTTCTGCCAGGCTTTCTGAGCTTCAGCTGCGCCAAGAGACTCAGGCTCATTGGGAGCTAGTGAAAGGGAGGGGAGGGCTCTGGGAGCACCCAGAAGAGAAGGGCCCTTCCCATGTGTCTTGTCAGGTCCCAGGGACCTTGGGCAGCCACACGAAGGGTTAATGTCCTGAGCGTAATCCACAGGACCCAAAACATGACCCACCGCCCAACTTGCATCTTACTAAGGCGCTGCACACAAAACAGTAACACAAGTACAACCCCGACAGTGCACTGTGTGCCACATGGGGGCCACACCTGCCAAACGCACTGTCCCCAGCACACGCTCTGAGTCACATTCTCACTCCACTCGACGCCCCCTTCCTCCAGTCCTGGCACAGCATGCAGTAAGCCCGCCCAGAATATCCAGAGACTAATACTCCCGGGCATAGCACCACTGAAAGGCTGCAGGGCTGGGGGCGCGGCGGGGGGGGGGGGGGCGGGGGCGGGGTGTCAGTTGACTGGGGAGGGGGCACATACCTGGCCGTGAAGGTCTTCCAAGAAGGAGGGACAGACAGGCTGACAAACCAGGAGTTCACAGATCCAAGGTCCACACATAAAGCCCTTTCCAGTAAAAAAAGCCAAGCCAGACCCCACAAGAGCCCCCAGGTAGGATTTGGAGGTGCTGCCTGGGGAGGTAGGGAGATTGGAAGAGAGTGGGGGACCCAGGGAGTGATGGCGGGGACCTTCCAGAAAACAGCAGTTCTGGAAGCCAGAGCTCAGCAGGCCCCTGCTGCCCCCAGGTTAACCACCCCCTCAACACACACACGCGTGCTCCAGCCCCTAGAACAGCACAGGCCCTGCTGCCCTTGCTACAGGGTGTAGGGCGAAGCCAGCCCCCACACTGTGCTCCCAGCCCCGCCGAGCTGCTGGAATGACAGCCCAGAGCCTGGAAGAGCTGCGGGCTGCCCTCCAGAGAAGCCAGGGGCTGGGGATGCCCCGGACTCCCAGGGGGCCACTGCGCCGGGCGCCAAGACCCTAGTGCTTCTGTCTCCTGGGCACTGGTAGGCATCCCTGCGTGCCACCGGGAGCTCTGCCTTGCTGCGTCTGCGTTCTCCGAGCACGCATTTACAGAGTGCCCACTCGCTGCCTGGCCTGTACGAGCCCGGAGCTGACCACCTTGGAAAATGGCAGCACATAAAAGAACGGTAAACCTCTTTGTATGGATTCACTCAATTTTCCCAGCTACTCTCTGAAACAGATACTATTAGCATCCTTGTCTTAGAAATGAGAAAACTTGCCCCAAGTCACACAACAAAGAAGGGGCCAGCAGGTCTTCCCATTAGGGTTTACAGTCCAGTGGGGGAAGAATTTAAAACGTATTACAGCGTGGGCTGGAGACTGACCGTGATATTGTCTGAACAGCAGTATCGATAAGTTCCCACTGAACCTGAACGAGCAGGCCGGGAGCACTCCCCACCCGTGCTTAATGCTCCAGGTCCCAGGGTCCAGGGGTAAAGAGACACACAGGACAGTGGTAGCTATGTCGCGCCCCACCAGGGCGTGGGCTGACCTTTTCCTGGTACTTGTCAGGACTCTTATTGTAAGAGACAGCGGGCCAACTGGAATCGGCTTGTGGAAATGGTGAGATTTCTGGGCTCCTTGCTCTAAACGGGGCAGGGATGTATCTGGCTTCAGGTGCAACTGGATCCAGGCACAAATCTCCAGATCGCTCTCTCTCTCTCTCTCCTGTGACTTCCTTCTCTGCCCTTGAGCTTCCCACTCTCCCGTTGTGGGCCTCCTTCTTGCTATAGCTCTAGGAGGCCGCTCCTGGCTTCCCATCTCACAGCTTTGCCACCCAGGAGGGACTGGCCTCTGCTCTTATTTTCAACTCAGAAAACCTCAGGGAGCCCTGGCCAGACAACTCATTTGGTTGGCGCATTGTCCTGATGCACCAAGGTTGCGAGTTTGATGCACCTGTCAGGGCACAGACAAGAATCAAACAATGGATGCATAAATAAATGGAACAATACATCGATGTTTCCCCCCTCTTCTCTCCCTCCCTTCTTCTTTCTCTAAAAATCAATCAATAAAATTTCTTTAAAAAAGAAAAGCTCAAGGAAAGACTGTCATGTCCCAAACCTGTGTCGTCCC